CTTAGGAGTTGACTGGTGGATGCCCAGTGATCTGTGGACCGCAAACTTTAAACCGTTTTCTTCTGTAGTTGCAAATTTCAGCGTGGCTGTCCATTACTGCATGTTGCCTATTGAACATTGAACCTGCGAGTGCAGATACAGCTTGGACTCTCAGGTGTGGCCTGCAGAAACTTATTGGATCTAAGTCACTTTGTAAACCCAGAATAACTGAAGTTTGGTGAAGAGCTTTCGGTGATTGGGAGAAGTGTGATTAGCGTTTGTTTTAGTTCACCAAAAAGACTATGTTTACGGGAGTTCCTGATGCTGAGAACTGGCCTATCAGACTAGGATGGAAACACAGCTAGCCTTCCTTGCAGAAGTCTGCCTTTGCCCTGATCAGAGCAGATCGGGAAAGATGGGATGCGTGCAGGGTTTGGCACTGTCACCCTGTTGTTCAGAAAGAGAAGAACGTGAACCTTCTCCTCGTGGAGATGCTGGACCTCCATAACCTGAGGAGGTGCACAGTGCTCTAGCAGCTGCTGCAATCCAAGTTTTTCTAATAATGAAACCACCAGTTGGTGCAGGAAATACTGCAGTCTGCTGCCCATTATCTGACACTCCCTCTTTTAAGCAAGCAAGCAAAGCACTACCTGGACTGCTGGCCTGGCGTGGGGCTGAGGGAGCGGTACAGTGGCTCTCTGAGGCTCGTGTGACTGCTTTACATCACTCAGGCAAATTCGCAGCAGAGCTGGGAAAAGAAGTCACTTTAAAAATAAAGATCCAGAATTCTCCAGTCTGGCAAACGAGCATCCTGAATACCAAAGTCTAGAGGCAAAAAAGTAAACCAAAACTGTAAAGGCGAGTTTAATTTCCAGAGCCTGTTGGCTTCTGTGTTTCTCCCACGGATACAATGAGGCATATCCTAGCTGTCTTGCTTATCCAGCATTATACGTTCTCATTCTGTAAGAAGCTACTGTGAATGCATAGTTCCTTTAGCTATACTGAGCCTCTTCAAATTGTGGGGGTTCTGTTGCCAGCAACGATAATTTCTTTTCTGAGCTGTACACCACTAGAAAAACCTAAAGTTTTCCTTTACTTACCTGGTCCCATTCAGCTCTGCCAGGACAGTTTGCTGAGCTCAGGCTTTGCGAGGTGAGCTTGGGCTTTTGCTGCTAGTGAGGTGCCTTTCTCACTGGGAGAGGGGATGGAAAACCTGAGAGCTGATGGACCTGTCTGCTAGCAGAAGGCTTTGTTTACAGCCGTTTGTCTCCTGTTGTGAAGGGCGGGTGATAAATGGGGTTAGGCTAGCCCCAGGTTTAAGTGACATTCATGGGAATTATGCCTTCTATGATTGTTGTGGTGAGGTCATGTGTTGTGTCCCATGCTATGCTGCTGTGCCAAGAGATTTATTTTAATAGAAGCCTTTAAGTAACTGGCATTCTTGCTAATCATGGTGCATCTGCTTCTCTGGGTTCCCTGTTATGAGTAATTTAATGCTATTACTTTAGCTAGAAGGGATCTGTGTCACCATCTGTCCTGGAAAGCTATTGATGGGGCTGTGCAGAACATCGAGTGTCATCGGCAGGGGAGAGAGAGTTCTAAAGGGATGACTGGATTTCCTGTTGTAATACAATATAAGACGGTTTACTGTGATTACAGCTTAGATAACTTGCATATAAAGGCCGTTAGCTACTCTTTGATTTTGATGAGGACCGTTCCTCAGACGTTTATACAGGGAGAAGATGTTCTTATCAGCTAGTACTGACTAGTAACAACACAGCTAACGTGCTAAAGAAAAGCTCTCCTTTTGTAGGGGCATGGGCCTATGCAAGCTGAAACCTGAAAGGCTGACCCTAAAATGCCTGCCCATCTGCCACTCCCAGCAATCAGATATCCTTTGGAGAGGACTTGCCAGACACTTTTCAAGCCAAATGTTTTCCTAATGAATGGTTATTTTTTAATTGTTGTTTACAGACCGCTTCCCTGTAACAAGCCCTCTCCATGCTCTAGCTGAGTCACAATGGACGTGAAGAGGCTATATGGTTGAAAAGCAAATTGCTCTTCACTTCCGAAAGTGGTGTACTTTCACAGTACCACTTATGCACAGAGTATCATCCTGGTCTGTCAAGTGTGTGTTGCTGATGTCTTTGTTTTTTTGTCTGAGAAATGTATTTACTTTTTGTTTTTATGACCGGTCAGTAGTTGTACAGTTTGCCCTCTCACCTGACCTGTTGAGTCCTTCCTGACCTTCCTGTGACTGGTGTGGCCTCTCTGCAGGCCAACTGGTAAGTGTGAGAGCGTTCAGGGCCGTGAAGGGGCTTTATGTGGGTTTCTTGGGGAGGAGGGGGTTTCTTTGATTGTACCGTTCTTCCCAGCAATAAGTCACGTGTTGCTTTGGGTACGAGTTGGCTTGACTCAAAATCCTGGCTCAAAACAGCTGGAAAGATTGTACGAGATACAAATTTTACAGCTCTGCTTTTTGTCATGCAGAGGCACAGCTCTCACTTCACAATAATCTAAGAAAATGATCTTGCTATACCTTACGGTATCTTATGCAGATAAGTGACAAGCAGGAAGAACGTATAGGGCCCAAACTTGCTCAAGGTTTGCAGCTGTGTGCTGGGGTCGGTCATCCAGAAAGCCTGAAGGAGGAAGCGTGCACTGCATCTACATGGGCTTTGCGGTCTGGTGCAGCTGCTGAGAAGTCAATAAAATAACCAGAACTCTGCCCTGGGATGCAGACTGACTTCCTCAAAGAGCCTCAGTTAACTTGCGTCTTTCCCTTCTTCCTTCCCCCTCCCAAGTGTTGGGATGGTAACATCGTACCACCCGTCGCATCTCCGGCAATCAGACGGCTCTATCTGAAAAGCTAGCTCAGTGCTAGCGTTATCAGGGTGTGCAGAAAAGCTGCTTATGGAAGTATTCATGTAAAGCAAAAATTGGCGATGTTGCAGGTTCAGCTGCGTTCTAGCCCTACGATGAGAACCAGGAGCGCTTCATCCCCAAAGATGAGCAGTGTTAATGAGGGCACGGATGGTAAGAGGTCTGCTCTGGGGGCGGAGGGACTTGGCATATGCGTGCAGCCGGTTTGCCCTGACTCGAATCTTCCCCTCGGAGAGAAGTTGTAGCGCAGAGACCTGCAGAGCCTGTGTGATCGTGCTTCGAGTGCTGGCCTTTCAGCTTCTCAAATGGAACAAATTGGGGAAAAAAACTGCTGCCTCCCAGAGAGCTGTCGGGGGAAGGCAAGACAGAAGATGCTATTCCGGACATAGTTCAGTGGTAGCTGTGAAAGAAAGTATATGAAACTGCATGCTGTTATCAAGGAGAAAGCCTAAAGGGCTTTTTCTTTCCGTGCCATGTCAACCATGGCTATAAAAGCAGGTTAAATCTTCAGTGTTGTGATGTCCCAATGCGATACAAATGTTTGTTATGATTCTACACGTGATAGTTTGGCACAAAGATTATCCATATTTCCTTTGCTTATGATTTCCCTGTGCTTCTGCCATATAATAAAAATCTAGATCTCCATAATTTGTATCAACTGTTCAGCCCAGATGCCGTGCTGTTATTCTCTCTGACACATTTGCTGTGCCTGCTGAGTTACTGCCTTTTCTGAGACCTTTGAATTAACCAGATTTTTGGGTCATCAAGATTATTTAACGTTATTGTCATAAATATTTGTACAGGACTTGGCCAATGCTTATACAAGAACTGAAAGACAGTAATTCGTTTTAAGAGCATGTGTGTTTTAATGAACTGCCAGCTGAATGTTTGATATAAACTTTTTAAAAAGTGCTTTTCTTTTACTATAGTATTACAATTTGTGGGATGAGAGAAAAACTGAATATTTAGATTTGTCAGTTGTTTAGTTTTGTCCGTTACAGCTGTTTAAACTTAAAATCACTTGAGAGTTGTTTAGAAGAAAACAGCCCGCTTTTTAAATAGTTGTGTTGCTTATCATCCTGTCCTCAAAAGAGAAGCTGATCTCTTGCATCTTATTAATCACTTTCTGTTAAACTGCATTTTCTTTGGCACTGTTTGTATGCAAAAAAAAAAGAAAAAGTTGTTATTGCATTACTTTTTGCAGTTGATTCTTGCAATAGTTTCCAGTTTGTTCTTAATTGTCAAAGTATCGTCTCCTCAAACACAAGGACAAAACACTAACAACATGAATATATTGTTTGGAAATAGTGAATGTTATACATCATCGTATCTGCTGAAACATGTTAGAAATGAACAAATATTTAGTTTGTCTCTAGCTCTTAGAAGCACAGTTTTTTATTTATTTTTTTTTAAAGGAACTTTTGCCAGGTTTCTCAATGAGGGACAATGCTACAAATAAGCCAAAATATGGACGCTGCCAGAGGGTGCTGTGTGCGCTCTGGCAAATGTGGGTTATTTCTTCTAAATATCTTAATTAGCAGAGCATAGTCTTCAAGCTGTTCTTGGAGAGTTGCTGCTCTGCCAGACCACAAGCAATGAGCCCCCAAATACTGTGATTTTAGGTCCTAAAATACAATCTTTAGGACTGTGGTGTTTCAGTGAGTGTGAATGTGATCCTTCGTGCTGATATTATACCACAAGAACGTGCCACGTGTCACAAACTCCCCTTCTCCGTGACAGTTGCCGTTGTGAAAGGTTTTTGTGCTGTTGGGTTGTGCAGAGCAATGTGTAGCCTGTTGCGGGAGCAGGAATTGAGGTGTTGGCAGATCTCTGTTTAAACCGTCTCTTAGTTTTAGAGGTGTCCGGCTACAGAATTTTACTTTGGCAGATCTCTAACAAGTCATGTCTGTGTTCCCGTGGTGGCCACGTGAGCCTCTAAGTCTCTCCCAGTTCTAATCTCTAGGTTTGGTAATCTTAATGCCAGGGTGCTGCTACAGTTCTGCACGGCGCTAACGGGTCATATAAAATTATACTCAACAGAAATCCTAGAAACCATTTCCAGTGTTCACATGCTTCAAGACCTTGGTAAATACCATGCACTGGAAGGATTAACTGTGGTGATATGTCTTCCCTTTCAGAAAAAGAGCAGAGAAGAGACATGTGGGGAAGGCAGTGGAGTGGAGATCCTGGAGAACAGGCCCTACATGGACGGCCCAGGAGGCAACGGGCAGTACACTCACAAAGTGTACCACATTGGTATGCACATACCCAGCTGGTTTCGGTCCATATTGCCCAAGGCAGCGTTGCGAGTCGAAGAGGAATCGTGGAACGCGTATCCTTACACGAGGACAAGGTAACGCTTGTCACAACATCCAGAAGTCTTTTTCTACTTCAGAGGGAGGATTTGGTGTCACTTTGTGTGACAGTGACATCTCTTACATCTCCAGTAATATCCTTTAGAGCGATTGCGGGGCCAAGTCCTAAAATTCTTACCAGTGCTTAAATCTCAGGAGCACGCGCATTGCCTGAGCTGCCTGTGCAAGTCCTTCAGAACTTGTAGCTGGTTGGTCCAAGATAGGAGCTGTTTTGCTGATCAGAGCGTGGGAAATCTTGAATAGGTTTTTATTTAGTCTTGTATCCTGCCCTGCGTGTTCTACTTAATGTTGCAGGTATCTGCTAGCTCGGTGAAGCTAGATTTAAATGTGCATGGTGATGGGAAGGTTGTTATTTTGGACACTGTCAAGTAAAACAGGATTCATTTGTTCTAGGTGGGAAAGTGTGGGGAGAGAAAAATCTTTAAAAGTATAAAACGTAGAAAGTTTTCTGGTGCTTCTGTTCTGGGGACTTTTTTACTGTCGTCTAGGCTCCATGGAGCTCTCTGGGATCTCCTTGTTTCAGCTGATTTCGTTTGGGAGGACTTCAGATACACTGGAATAAACAGCCTGGGATCTTCCTATCCGCCCATTACTTTGGTTTAGAACATTTGCCATGTTCCATGCTTCCAAGTCTGATGTTGCTGTCGTCTTTCAAAACAAAAAGGCTATAATGAATGTGTTGGTTTTATCAGAAATCTGGAAAAGTTTCATAGTTTTATTTTTACTGGTCTCTGCTAGGAGCATTACTTGGGGACAGGGCAGGGAGTGTGTGTCTGTGTATGGGCAATTGCTCATGATTGCAAATAACGGAGCTGTCTGATTTTCATGTGATCAAAGCCCACTTTCTGTCCGTTTTCTCCATCCTCTTGAAATGCCCACAAGGCACTAAGCTAGGCAGGAAATTTGGCCCTGCGCGGAGTCAGGCTGTAGTTTATTCTCCTGCAGATTCTTGGCAAGAACTCAACTTTGCTCCTGGTTGAGGTGCATTTCCTGTGTTAGTACCTGTGTCCTACCTGTAAGGATAACGTAACTTGTTAATACAGCAGACCTGAAAGCTATCTCCTTGCTGAAAACCGCTCCTCTACAAGCAGTGTGTCCTGGTAGTCGTCTCCTGGAGGAGATGATGTCAGACAGAGTTGCAGTTTTTTTTTGTCAGTGTCTCTGCAAATTGAGACTATTTGCTTCTCCCCTCGGGCTTTCTCCTGCCAGTGCTTGTTGTGGCTGGCTGAGTAGTTGTTTCTGGGCCTGCGTGGGTGCCCGATCTCCAGTAACTGCGCTGGGCGCGTTGGCTCCGTCTCTCCTGTGCTCTGTGTAGCGCCCTGTGAGGAGCACGCTCCTTCATTGCGGCATGCGTGAGGTTTTCCTGAAACAGAGCTATTCCACTGAAGCCACGTGTCCAAGGCAAACTGCTGCCTTAAGAAGTTATTAAGGAAATCTCAATCTCTCTTTTGTAATCTGTACAGGTGGTATTTTAAATCTATCTGAAGTAAAACATGAGCAAAGGCTGGCTTGGATTTGATTTCATACATCCTAGGAAGCATTTTCTCTCCTTGCTGAGCCTAGCAGGATTTACTCTAAGCTGCACTGTTCTCTGTTTCAGGTATACGTGTCCTTTTGTGGAGAAGTTCTCTATTGATATTGAGACGTACTACAAAACTGACCCAGGAGAGCACGTCAACGTGTTCAACCTTTCCCCTGCGGAGAAAAGACAGACCGTTCTCGGTGAATAGCCCTTTTCCTTTAGCTTGTTTTCCTTTCTTCTGCTTTTTGTTTGCCATGTAAAGGATTTTTCGTGATTTGTCCTATATCTTCCCCCCGCATTAGTGGACAGGCTGCTGGGTGAGGTACAAACTTTGCATAAAAAAAAAAAAAAAAGTATGGTGAGGAGATGCGAGTTCTCTTCTAGGCTTGATGTAAATCACACGGCATTTCTAGAGAATCATTTCAATCCTGTCTGTAAAATGGAGCTGATGTTTTCCTGTCTCCTTCATGTGGTGCTGTGAGGAATAAGACGTCTAATGATTTTGGGAGTAATAAAGTGCAGCAAATATTGAAGAGGAAAACACTTGTTGTTTTATACTGCTTTATTACCGTATAGCTGCTTTGTGTATATGAAAACATCATTCCCGTCTACACTTCCGAAACATGAGGGTGTATTTCATTTTTGCTTCTCATCCTTCTAGTATCACTGTCATGCAGGTTAACACTTCAGCTTTGCAGCCGCCTTTGGGAGAGCAGGTGAAGGAGCCTTATATACTTAAGGATTGAACAGGGGAAAGGCAAAAGAGAACATCTTGTAAAAAGGCAGCCAGTGTCACGGTGCCTCTTGTGTCTTGCTGTCCCTCGCGACCCATGCCGGTGGTGTTTGCAGGAGACCCCCCTGGGGGGCTGGGAGTGCCTGCAGTTATCGTCCCACAGAATTAAAGCATCACTTGCTCATGAAACTGCTGGGACTCGACTATTATTTGAGCTCAGTCTGACTCCTCGTAGCAGCAGAAACGAGAGCTTGCCATGCCCAGGAGCTATGGAGAAGGACACCTAGCGGCTGCTTTACCTCTTTAAGCTCTGTTGACGTGCTGCATAACAAGGGACACGCGATGCGGTTTTACTAGAGCGTTACTTGGCTTAAACTTCTTTATTTTGAACTTCAATTGACTGTCCTCATTGCTGTATCTGTTTGATCAGGCTTTCAGTACTCAACCGGCTCACCCTTAACTAGGCTTGAGGCAGGCTGCCTCCATCGAAACAGCTGCTGTTTCTTGGGCAGTGAGATACTGTCCTTCAGTCCAAATGCTAGATGTTTCTGCTGCGTCTTGGGGGCAGGTTGCAGATCTGTAAAAGGTATTCATTCATTCTGCTCCCCTTGCATTTTCCGCTTCTCCGTTGCCAAATTGTTAATTAGGACAATTTGGGACTCATACTACAGAGGATAGAAAATTTAACATGTCAACTGCAACAAACAGTACCATGTGATGAGTTACCAGTAACCTCCCTTGATGTACTCCAAAGATAAGGTGTTCAGTGGGTTGTATCTTTTCCATTGCAGTACTAAAAAGCAGCAGATGTATTTTAACTGTCTCAGATTAGGCAGAGCTGTAGTACTGCGAGTGATAGTAGAACAGCTGAAAGATGGGATGTGCAAAAGATCTTTGTGGAGCTGGAAAGACGGAGCGCGCAGATGTGCCCGGGTGCTGTGGACCTGCTGTCACCATGAGCAAAAACTTCTGTTTGGAGCAAAGCGTCTTTTTGCTGGAGTCATGTGTGCAAGTTCCCCTGGCAGAGCTGATCTCTGCCTAGGAGCAATATGTAAACAATTTAAATATCAGTTGTCTAAGTGTAAGTAAAAAGAAAGTAAATTACTGTAACGTTTCTGGTACGCACTTAAATAGAAACAACTTCTGAAAAATGGTAATTTCTTCCTTGTTCAGGTAAAGGAAGTGTTTAACTGTTTCTGTTCTCTTTTTGTAGACCCTATTGATATTGTTAAAGATCCTATCCCTCCACATGAATACAAAGCCGAGGAGGATCCAAAGCTATATAAATCAGTGAAGACTAAAAGAGGCCCCCTCTCGGAAGACTGGATTGAAGAATACAAGAACAACCCTGGGAAATACCCAATCATGTGTGCATATAAACTTTGTAAAGTCGAGTTCAGATACTGGGGGATGCAGTCCAAAATCGAGCGGTTTATCCATGATGTTGGTGAGCATTGGTAGTTTTGCAAAGTTCACTGTCAACTCCTTAATGTTGTTTCTGAATTGAAACATGCAGGTGAGGTATGTGCAATGTAACGTATCACAAGTCACATCTATAAAGAGATTTTTGGGCCAGACTGCCCTGTCATGCGCAGAGCTATGGATCAGTTCAGAAAAAACATGTTATTCTATCGTTTGTAATCACAGTAGGTGTGAATCTGTGTGTAGCTGCTGAAAGGTTTTCAAGTCCTGTGTATGCAAGATCGTACATTTTCTTTTTTTAGATAAGGATTTGTCTGTTGAAAATTTAGGCAGTTATTTTTCAAAATTGACCACTTTTCTTTATTTTGGACAAAATCCTCAAGGGCTACTCAAAGAAATGAGCTACACCTACAGGTCCCCCTTCTAAAGGGTTCAGGAAAGGGCTCTTGGAGAGTTGCCGGTCTCCACCTGCCTTGCGGCAGGGCGGGTGGGTGCTCGTGTGGCCATACACCTCTGACCTCCCAGTTGCAGTGTCCGGGGGTCCGCACCCCACTGTGCTTGTAACCCACTGTGGGTCAGTGACCGTTCCCAGTCATGAGTTAATGTGCCACTTTGGTTGATGCGTTATTCTTAGGTAGGTGCTTTTAAGAAGGTAGCTATTGTTTGTGTCCCGGGAGTAACTAAGTGGAGGCTGTGCAAGTCAGAACAGTGGGAGCAGTGCTGGCAGCAATTTGTTCTTTGCAGAAAATCTATAACACAACTGCTATAGTTTCTGAGCCTTGCCGCAGGAGACACAATCTGTAGCCAGGTGGAAAACTTAGGGAATGCTTCTTTAAATCATTCCCATCTCAAAAAACGTAGATCTACAGCTGTCCTCGGACACAGACGCGATGAAGAGGGGGCCAACTTGTCGTATGTGTGAAGGTTGCTGGCTAGTTTCTGTACACAGTAGATTCCCCTACGTGACCTCTACGGCTGTCCCTGTCTGTATGCAAAGCTGCTGTGAAGTGTATGATGCTAGAGTAAGTAAATGGTTTTATAGCTCTCTTCAGCTGTATTGTGCTCCCGAGAGCTAATGTGGAAAACACTGATAGAGCAGTGGAGCAAGGCATGCACCGTTCTCTGAAGAGTCACGGCTTGCACTCTTAGAGCTCCTTTGGTTTTACTTTGCCTACAGATGGAGGTTGGTACCTGCTACAGACTCCATTACAAGTGGCTGTCTGCAATAAACTCCCTCGGCGTTTTGGTGACATGGGTTAATTCAGTGTATACTGCAAAACATGGGGGCAGAATAACAACTCCATTGTATCTGTTAAATGAAAAGGAAGCATGTGACTCTTCCAGTTGTTCAGAGGTGTTTGGCATAGATTAAACTGCGGTCCCTTAGAAATGTTTCTTTTGTATTTCATAAAAGATTGCCTGCCATTTTCCTCTTTTAAGGGCTTTGCAGAGAGCTGAGCCAGTTCATTGTCTGCCTTTCAAAAGCCTTTCCACCCTGTTTTAATGATGGCAAATAATGTCTTTCAATGTGGTTAAGATGCATAAAATCAGAAAAGTCTTTAAGGAGAGACAAAGTTGAGTGACTGAGGAGCGAAAGCAAAAACTTCAGCTATCTGCAGAAGATGCATAGCTTTGCCTTGCAGCGGGATAGCCGTGGGCAAGCTGCCAGGGGGTGAAAAAGTGTCAGAGCCCATGCACAAAAGACAATTGGGTGTGAGTATGCTTAAGTTGGATGTGGGCTACGACGTGGCTGACCAGGCTTATAGGCTGCTCTCCGTTTTGTCTGTGCATTGTAAAACGAGCTGGTGGACCCAGGTGCCGCAGATGTTCTTGTCTGCCAGCCCCTCTGAGGTATTTCTGGCCTCGTTCCTCTGTGCCCAGCCTCGGCAAAGCTGTTTTTTGGGCATTCGGCTCTCTGTGCGCAGGGCTGTCAAGCCAGCAAGAATACCGAGGCGTGATCCAAGAGCAGGATCCAAACTCTGCCCGAGGTGGGAGCAGGCCTTCACTGGGGCACACGAAAATTGGAGACTGGCTTGAAAGAAGAAAACTTCTGAGTTAAGTGATGGATGGATTGTAATATGTGGAAAGGCTACTGAGTGCGGAGGGAGTAACTCTGGGGGATGGTGTTGAAATGTTCTCCATCTCTTACTGAGCATAGCAGCCATTTTTTCTGATGACTAATTGGACAGTTACTCAGTGCTTTGACAGCCTGAGACACAGACTGAAACTGTGGGCTATTAGTCTACTTGGCTGTAATATTTGTATGCTTTTTTACTCCTTTTCCATAGAATTTAAGTTTAATTGGACTGGCACTGCATAATGTTCTGCTCCCACTCGCTTCCTAATCATGCACGTGGGCTGTGACTCTTTTGTTGTTAAACAAACGAGTTGACTGTGTATAGGTTATTGATTATATACTGTGGCAATGTGTGTTCCCGTCCTGATAACTGGAGCTTTGCCTAAGCCGATGCATCTTAGGGTAAATATGCCCAAATTGTTGCACAGGGTTGAAGCGGAATCCTTTTGGAAAGCTCTGTAGCCCAACTTTTGCTTCACTTAAGTACTTTAATGAGAAAGTTCATCCAGCCGGCGCTGTCCCTTGGGGCCTGCATGTACGGTTTTGTCTTTTCCAGCCTGGGCAGATTGCAGTCAGCGTGATGTGACCATGACCACGCGCTTTGCGTTGTGAGTGGTCTGAGCAGCGGAAAGGAGGGGAGCAAGCAGACATAACTGCAGGCTATGTATGATCAGATGCCTTCAGACAACTAGGACTGTACAGACAAGGCTGTGGGATCTACTGTGACTGTCAAGGAAATAGTGTCGCACAAGGAAAATCAGACGTCCTTTGTCTGCTGCCAGGCAATTGTGTGTTATAAAACGCTTTGCGATGTTGCCACTGGGTACATAAAGTGACTTTTCGGATACCTGTAGATTATGTGGATAGTTGAGTGGGGTTTGGGGCTTTGTTCTTCTTCTTCTTTTTTTTCTTTTTTTTTGCATTGAGTTTCTGACACAGTTACTATTTTTATTTCAAATCAAAAGACAAATGCAGAACTGTAGACAAAAGCTTTTCCAATGCAGCTAGAGAGTCCGCCCAGTCCTGGCTTGCCTCATGCTCGTTTGCGCTTCCTTCTGTGAGCTCTGAGTACAACTCCCCAATCTGCAGGCAAAGCACTTAAAAAAGTCGACGCTTGGAGGATTGAACCCATCTTTGCGGCGGAGTTGTTGAGATGATGAGTTGAAAGGCGAGTGATTTAAATGTTTGCACCCTGCTGGACTCTTTGCAGATGATCTTTCTGCACAGCGCAGTAGGAAATGTTGCAATTAAATCAAGATAAAAATGATGGGTACTTCTGAGCTCAGTCTGCATGTGTGCATATGTGCATGTGTGGTTTTGTTTGTTTTTTAAACCAAAGCGCTGTGCTTGCTAGAGAAATAATAAAATCTGGTTAACTTCTAATATTATTGAAATCAGCTGGTACCCACCTCCTTATAAAAATCCCATTCCTGTAATTTTTGCTGACTTCAGTGCGTGGCTTGCCTGCTCAGACCGTGGTGTTATTCCCCGAGTCCGGAGGAGAAGGCTCGGATGAGCATGGCACGCGCTGGGCGGAGCGGAAAACAAACTGCACAATCTGCCCGATTCTCCTGTGCCGTCGGTTCTCTCTTCCCAGCCCAGAGACCTCTCTGGGAGACCCTCCGCTACCCTGCGGTCCTTTCCCCTTGCTGGTGGTGGTTGCTCCGCGGGGGCAGAAGGGCCCAGGGCCGCAAGGCAAACCGCCCCACGGGCTGGAGGCGGCCCCGAGGCACCGCTTGAAAGCTCGGAGTGGGTTCGCGTGCGGGGACAGGGGCCTGATTAAAAAGAGAGATGTCCCCAGCTACCCTCCGATTCCCACGTCTGCTCCATCCCCTCCTTCTCACTTTCCAAGTAAAAAGCTTGTTTTCTCTCTGACGTTTGGAGAAAAACGTTCTGGGACTTGAATCCCCGCTGGGCATGGGAGGAAGCCATCTCCGGACAGGCGAGGCGGCGCTCGTTCCCGGCCGGGCCACGGATTCGCGTAGCGGCGTGGGGGCCCCGGCGAGCCCTCCGGCCCCTGCGCCCTAGGGGTGTATTCGGTGCTGAGTGTACCAGCTGGGGCTGCTCGAGTTTTCCATCACTAGCAGTCGAGGTTCTTCCTGCAGGCCGTGACTGTTATTTTTTCGCTCCTTGTGTACCTGGACAGCCTCGTTCCCTTCCGGGTTTTCTCCCCGTGCTTGAGTGAGCTGCAGCACAGCTGACGCATCCCGGGTGAAGGCCGGAGGCTGGGAAAAATGATTTCTGTTTTTTTGACTTCAAAACTGATCTGGAGGGAGAGAGGCAGAGCAACCACGAAGCCCCATAACGACATCTTATTTTCAAAAGAATAAGGCTATAAGGCAGGGGGACTTGGGGTCTCGGGCGCAGCCGCTGTGTTCGAGCGAGGTGGCGCGGGCGATTTCTGTGAGCCAAGGGAAGAAGTGAAAGAAGGCACAGGGGAACTTCGGAGGCTGGCTTGTTTTCCGCAAGTGGTTTTCTTTGTTCCTTATGATGTTAGTTCCTTAAAACAGAGAGATGCGTAGTCAGTGGCATCTACGCCCTTGCAGAGAGGATTTTGGAGGGGCGGAAGAGCTGGCGCGTTGGCGCGCCAGGGACTGGGTGCAGAGGCCATGGCGCTTGCCAGGCTGCTGCGTCCCGGGACCGGAGCGGCGGAGGCAGCCGGAGAGTGAGAGCCCCGGGGGCTCCGTCCCCATCGCTGCGTCTGCTCACGGTCTGCTTTCAAGCAAGGTGGAAGTGGACGTGACGGAGCTTGAAGGATGGCTGTGGTGGTGCAGACGGAGTTATGGCAAGGGAAACGCTTTCTTGGCTTCGGAGGTGGATGTGACGAGAGTTTAATCCTCGTTTTTAAGCTCTGCTGAATGTCAATCGTGACAGGAGGTGAAGAGGCTAAAACATTCTCCTGCGGTTCTGCAAAAAGTAATCAGGTGGGGGAAATAACTCTGAATCTCTGCTGAGGCTGAACAGAATGAAGTTGCTGAGGACCCTCCTTCTGCCCCAGAAGGTCATAGCCTGCTGGCTCAAACGTGCGTCTGTTATGTGGAGCTCCTTTTTGAAAGTCAGGCAGAGAAATACGTAAAAAATTGATAGATTGAATCTTACTGTGCAAATGAAATTCGGGTTGAGCTGATCCGTCGTGTTGGCGACTGATCTCAATGCTTGTTTCCTCCTGACAAGATGATTTTTTTGTGGTGGCCGGTGCATGCATTGTGGCATTAGAGACTAAACAAACGTGCAGAGCAGCAGAAAAATGGCCAGGCCTAGAAGTTAAAAAATAAGTATACATATACATACATACAGTACCTGCCTGCTTTGGAGTGCAGGATGTTTCTGCTCCAAGCTTAGGGGTAGAAAGTTGTGGCTCTGTAATCCCAATAACACCAATTCTCACTGCTGCTTTTGGCATGTCCTTCAACCCAGCTCTGCCTCAATTTTCCCATAATTACAGGGGGAGCAATAATCATTGATTTTTCATAAGGGCTCCTGGGAATTAGCTTGTCAATATTTGCAGAAGCTTTTAAAAGCACCGTTACTGCTCTGTGCTCATATCAGTAATAAATAGCTGTTTGGAGTCTTGACCTGCCATGAGCTTTTCAGCGGTATTGTTGGTTGAAAATCCTGAGTGATTATCCTGTTTTAAAGTCTTAGTCGTATGACGATGGTAGCCAACACAAGAGTTAAAAACTGTTGGAAGAAAGTTTCTGTTGCCCGGTCACAAGCACTGTGTGTGTTGATATTTCAGATGGTTCTTCCTTTTGGAGATGTGACATTTTGAAATTGTATTTTAAATTGGCTTTACCCACTTCATTTTTCTCATGCAGCAGAAGGGGGCTGTATCTGTAAAATAGAGAATCTTCCTTCCCATCCCATTATCTCAGAAGCTTGTGTTTGTGAGACCGTTTTACTGATAAATAGAAACCGGCTGCAGGTTTCCAGGGGAAGGAGAGGTTTTGGTCATCCTAGCCCTGCCAGTGTGGGATGTGCTCCTGCCACGTCAGCAGCCTGTGGTGGCTGTGCAGTGTTCAGGAAGGAACCACTTGAAACTCTCCTAGATAAAAGAAAGTAGGGTTTGGGGGTCTTTTTTGCTTGTTTTCTTGTTTGTTTTGCTGGCAATGTACTTCACTTTGAAGGCTGGATTTAAATGTTACAACTTCCCACAACTTCAAGGGAGTTGGGACATTTGGGCTCTGCTCCTGGCTCCTTCTCGATGGAGCAGGCAATCGCAAAACAAAATCCTGGGTTTGAAATTAGGAAGTCGCTCCCCCAGTTGAAAGCAGCTGCAGAATAATTTTGGTGCATGGTTGGTTAGCAAGAACTGAAGGGAGGCGATACATGAAGTGGTGACCAGTTTGCCGTCCCAACAGTTGCTACATGAAAGTCCTTTATTGCAGACTACAGCACGGTGTCATTAACTCCACTGAACTCGATGCCACCATATCTTGAGGTTTAGGGGGTGGGAACACATCTCTCTCTGAAGTTTTGTAGCATTGGTGACAGGGGCATTCTGGCTTTGCAGGCTTGCGGAAGGTCATGGTCCGTGCCCATCGGCAGGCCTGGTGCTGGCAGGATGAGTGGTACGGGCTCACCATTGAGGATATCCGGCAGCTGGAGAAGGAGGCGCAGTTGATGCTGGCTCAGAAGATGGCCCAGTTCTGCGGTGAAAATGATTCTGAGCAGCACGGAACCAAAGACACTCCTGGAGAGAAGGATGTTGAAGTTGACACTGTTTCGCCTGTTGACGCAGAGGATGTTGCTAGTAACAGTGAAACAGCATCTGGGAGATCACTCACCAAGCAGTGGTCCACTTCTTCCAAGTCCTCACGATCTTCAAAAAGAGGAGGTAAGATGGTACACTGATGACTTGCTCCTCTGTGAACTGTGTGGAGATTGTGCTTTTGGGAGGTATGAGCATGTCTCCTGCTAATGGCTGTCCCCTCTGGGACAATGTATGTTGCTCCAGTGAGTCCCTTTTAACGTTCGTAAAAGAGGCCTTCTCCGCTGGTGTTGCAGGCTGAGTCTTCTCAGATGACCTGTTGTGGGTTTGGGAATGTTTCTAGTTGTCCCATAAGTGTAACTCTGAGTGACAAGTGGCAGATTTCTTGCCAATCTCAAAAGCAGAGAAATTATTTAAAAAAAAAATACTTGAAGAGCAGGAAGCAGCTAGGAAGCAGTACTGGGTGGCAGAAGAGCACAAGCAAGGCAGGTGCTGCAGTGCAGCTTGCGCAGCTCAGCACCACCGTCAGCTCCTGGGGGACAAGGGGAGATTGCCACACTCTGGAGTGGTGTAGCTGGGGGCTGCTGCCCTTCGCTGGTGGTGGTGACGTGGCTGGGGGCTGCTGCCCTTCGCTGGTGGTGGTGACGTGGCTGGGGGCTGCTGCCCTTCGCTGGTGGTGGTGACGTGGCTGGGGGCAGGCACGATGTCTCGCAGGCCGTGGCGCCGCGGGGCC